CAGATATTAATATACTTTTGTTTTTTTGTTATAAAAAATAAAATATTTGAGAATTTCTCTGGATTTTTTATTGATAATATTTTTTTACAAACCCGACAAGAGCAATGATTAAAATGTATCATTTTCCAGGCTTAATCAGACTTTAAACTAGCCCTTGATTAAATTTTAGTCTACATTCGAGAATAAAACATTTTAGGCTACCAAGATTAAATTAATCCTAGATTTAATTTAGTCCGAGTTTATGAGTTAGTCAACGTTCGAGAATATGATTTTAGTCGATATTCCCAAATGCAGTCTAATCGTCCGATTTAGGTAATTATGGATTATTTTAATTTGAGATCAAAATTTAAACAGTCTTCGAGAATACCATCACCAAGTTAATCAGAGATTAAACTCCGATTAGCACTAATCCACAAAATGGATTCCCTGAACATCAACAATGGGGCATGCACGAAACTAAAATGGAAGAGTATCACAAACTGGCGATTGAACTGTGAACACAGTGATGGGTGTTTCATCTAACTGCTTAAATGAATTCCAACTGGAATGAGGTTTAATGTCCTACTGTTCTGCTCCGATTAGGCCAATGAAAACAGGTATTCCAACTACCAATGGATCGATTACGTGCATATCAATTTTTACAAGGGACCTCGGGTTTTTGTTCCTCCCAAACGACTAGACAGCCGTCCTTGTCAGGCCCTCCACCCTGAAGCTCTGGCAAGGGGAAACCACATCGGAAAATCCAGATGAGCTTTCTCGGCCATCATTGAGAGCGATCCCTAGCGAGCCAGCGCCTTACTCATTCAGCCACAGTGACTCTCTTCTAATTACTATGCTAGTCCAATCAGATTTCAAACAAGGGTTATTAGAATAGAATTTTACGGCTTAAATATATGTAGTTCCTCGGGATTCAAATGTTTTTAGAGGATTTGAAACAAACTTTTGATAGATATTTTAGTTTCAATTTCATATCACACAGTTTGTATATGGTAAGGTATCTTTAACGGTTAATTTATATTTTTCAGTTTCAATATTAGATGCCATAGCAAATCACCCAGGAAAGGATCATATAATAAAATAAGTTAAAAAAACAAACTATGGAAGAGGAAAGGGCTAAAGAAAAAGATGATTAGAGCACCTATGATTTCTGATGGGTGTTTTTTGAGGGTAGTGTTCAATTCTAATAGAAAAGACTGTTGTTGTGGTATTTTGGAATCTCACCATAATATGTTTGGCGCAATATAGCTAGGCTGGAGCTGACGTGACATAAAACTCCATTTCATTTCATTATTTTGGAATCTAAAATTCAGTTTAGTCTAGTAAAACTGTACACGTACATGTATGTGCACAGACATAATCATTGTTATGTCTAGATATGTAGATATCACTGTCTCCACCGTGGGGAGCCACAGTGGCTATGTGGGTACGACGCTGGCTCGCTTGTCTTAAGGTCGTGGGTTCCCGAGAAATAGTTCATCGTGATTTTCCGACGTTGTTTCCCCTCGTTAGTGATGCAGGAACGGAGGGCCTGACAAGGACAGCTGTCTAGTCGTTCGGATAGGACGAAAAAACGAGGTTTCGTGTACACATTGGCGTGCACGTAAAAGATCCCAGTATAGAAACCTTTCCCATGCAGCACCCCTCCTTTTACTCTGTTTAAACTGTAAAGTTTGATAAATGCCATAACAATAAATTTGTTTTGTTAAATTATTTTTTAGTCATAAAATGATAGGAAAGGGTAAATTAATACTAAATAGGCATTTGGAATATTAATAGAAAAAGTTAATTCCAGTACTAAGAAAATTGTGTTATATAATGACAAAATCCCCCCCCCCCTCCCCAATCACAAAATACAAAATAGCTATTTAAATTTTTCTATACGTACACATTATCCCTACCTCAAACCCCCCAAAATATATAATTCAAATATATTGTATATCTAAATTTAATAACAATCAAACCAAGCACTAATAAGATTAACTATGTACTAAATTGAAATACTTTCAAAAACTGAAAAGTGCTACAAAGTCATATTACAAGTGATTTGTGAATAATCTAAAAATAATTAGCATACGATAACAACGAGAGTACCCAACCATACCTTTTGAATGTTAAACCATCAATTTATTTTATAATTCTGGAAAAGAATGCATTTGTCCCGTTTTTAAATATTTTTTGTTTTGTTTTTAATGTTAAATATCCTTCCCAAACACAATTGATTCTATCCAGAAATTTGTGTATAATATTACATGTAAAGTGACATATAAATCAATTAGAATTTGGTTTGAAATCATAAAGTATTAAATAGGCATTATCTAGAAACCAATTGTAGATCGAATATACCCAGAATTACAAACCCTTGACCTACATTAAGGTGACTTTCCCTTGCTTATGAAATGAAATAGGGTTTAATATCCTACTTTTCTGTGTTAATAGGGTAACCCTGCCCCCCAACCTACTCTTATATTACATATTTCAACTGTCAAGGGTTCTTTAAAGTGAACGCATTGGTGGTGGTTTCGATTCCCCGTGTGTACATGACAATGAGTAGGAGCGCCTGTCCAAGTGCAAGGCAATGTGTATATGGGACCTAAGTTTGCCATACTATCCGAACGACTATATATTGTCCCTTGTCATGTCCTACACCACTGACCTGGGGGAACTATACCGAAAAATCTAGCTGAAATTTCTCGGCCAACACCAGATTCGTACACGGACGTCCATGTAAGCGAGCCAAAGCCTTACTTACCGAATCACTGTGCCCCCCCCCCCCCCACACACACACACACACACTTGCGTATGACTTGTATATAAATATTTTGTATATATTATTTATAATATTTGCCATTTTCTCTGATATTTTCATTTCATTTATTTTTTAATAACCTGTAATCTTGGTGCTTTTTATTATTCAATGGGCGCTCCGTTTATGTACAAGAGATTCATTTTATACAAGTTTCAGAAATTTTAACACAAGTGATGTGTAGATTTTCACACAAGTTTCAACAAAAGTTTGTGTTGTTTCATAAATTTTAACACAAGTTTTGTGTTGTTTCAACATTTAACACAAGTTGTGTTGTTTCAACATTTAACACAAGTTGGGTTGTTTCAACATTTAACACAAGTTGGGTTGTTTCAACACACGTTTGTGTTGTTCCAACATTTGACAGAAGCTTTTTTGTTTCAACACAAGTTTTTATCAGTGTAACGTTTCCAGAAGTTAGCCGCTCTGGCTAAGTGTGCTGAGAGAGACCGGAAGCCGTTTTATTTGTCATTAGAATTATGCTTGAACATATAATCCTAGCTGTTATAACTTTTATGTCGTGATATACTTAACTTTATAAAAGCACATCTTAGAAGAACAGTGTGTTCTTGAGATTTGGTATTACAAAAACAAACAAAGTGACATGATATTGAGAAGATTGTAAAGTACTTAGTGAAGTCCATATCGAGTTCAACAGTACACATGACGTTGTAATGGGTCAATAATAAATCTGGAAGCGCAGCAAACTGGTGATACATCTGTATGCCAAGTCCAATCATGTGGCTTGAATAATTGCTTGTACAGTTGATGCAATCTTCAGATCATCATCTTTATGTACAAAAAACACTTTAGTAAGTTTATCGGTGTTTGAGAAAGGGGGTTTGATTTCACATAGATTTAATTGCAAGCGATCGCTGCGTAGAAGGGGCCTACGTGTATCAAAATTCATGCAGTGTTAATTTCAGAACAAATAAATAAACAGTGAAGAATCAACGCCAATGAACGGAATGCTGGTTATCGATAGGGTGTTATCCCATGATGATCTCAATGCGTCACATTGGAAGAATCCAAAAATCTTTTAAAAACTATAGCTTCTATCTAGTTCACGAGATTTTCGGGAAAATGGTAAAACCCCGGAACGAATGGTCGAGGAACGCTGAATATCGTTTGTTAATGGGCCCGATGCTTGAAAAAAAAATCCGTTAAAAACTGTAGCCTCGTTCGCGTGTCAAAAGCCAACAGTCGGATAGGAGCGACGACATAATACGCCTACGAAACTCTAACGATAGTATTACCCTCTGGAAAATGGGGGGCGGGGTGGGGTAATTCATACAATTTAATTTCCTCAAATTGTTATAGTGAATTTTCTACAGTAAGACTGTATATGTAACAAGTAGGGTTTAATTAGAGAAACGTCTTCTATAACACCTACAAAAACTATATTGGTGTGACATTGCAGCTCCTAAGCTTTTGTTTGTAATTCATGGTGGTGAACAATAACCTTTAAATAGACGCTTTTACTATTGACATAAAGATTATTCAAAAGGCCAACCTGCATTCTTTAACATGGTACACACAGAGATCGAACATAGAAAGGAGAGCAATTGATTATAAGTTGTAGTTTCTAAAACAGAACACCAAAAAAAAAAACCAAAAACAAAGAAATGTATATAATTTGTATCATAATTTTTTTTAAGATAGAAAAATTGTATTTTTTATTTTCAATAGAAAGATTATCTTAAGGTATTGACTGTGAATATGTTTATATTGTTCTTGTTTTATGAGCTTTTTAGGAAATCATGGTCAGTGTTCGGCCGATCGGAAATACAAATTGGGAGTATCAAACTATTCAGATCGGTTCAAGAATTTTTCAAAAGTCACTAAAAAGTCAGAAGGGTGTTTAGTAATTCAACCGCAGCATAATGTTCAGATTTATTTCAAATTAAATTATAATGATCCATAATAATGTGGAAGAAAAATGCGATGTATTTAGGTTTGTTTAGGGTTTTCATTTGTCTGGGTTTCATCCATTTAGTATATTTTTAAGACTGCAAAAAATATAACGGAAATGACTGGTAATGTAAACAGACAACCTGTATTTTGGCTAACCAGTCTACAAAAAAAAAAAAAAAAAAAAAATCCACAGAGTTGGCCCTGTGTCTGTTTGCTCCAATCGTAATGTTTACAATAGTTATCCTAGCTGCTTGCTACTACACTACCGCCAAAACGATGTGTGCAGCTTAGACTACGTATATTTACCAAAGGGGTTGAGAGTCACATGTCGGCATTCATTCGCTCTCCGAACAACACAGCCTTCGTTTAACGTGTATGTACTTAGCATTCGCTTTGTGCCCCAAAGACATCATCCACGTTCTTGCGTTTGTCGTGAATACTTAATACTTCATCATTTTAGTTGCAACAGAGGATAACTGACAAATAATTATTCATTTATTTTGACTGCGTTAAACATCAGAAATATATTGTACGGACTTACTTGGATTATTTTCAAATTTATTTCGGATTAGAATTTATTCATTATATACGGCTAATACTTTGGCTGTTTGCTGTCCTGAAAATTAAATTTTTAGTGGTAAATTGAATACCGTATAAAATGAGTATTTACGGATTGAGTGCGTATCGCGTTACGGTACTATTGCTGCAATGCATGGTTTTGGGTATGTATAAGGTTTTTTGATTTTTTCATAATTTTGTTCTAGTACATATCGTTGGGTTAGAGCAAAAACATCTAAGTGAAATTGTGGAGAAAAACGACTTTAAAGGTTGAAACCTTTCTCGTAAATCCAATTTTTTCCCAATATTTTTCACATTTCTCCAGTTGACTTATGATATTAAGGGTAACTGAAATGTTATAGTGCAATTTTGGAATTGCAGTCATTTACACCCATTCTGTCCAAAATATCACTTCAGTTGTTTTTGCTCTAAATTAAATTTAATTTTCACTCAATTAGTTTAGTGCAAAAACATCGTAAGTGTTCTTACCAGCACAGGGAATTGAGTATGGTGTGATTGGGGAGGGTGGGGCGCTTTTAGTGACCTTTAAATCATCATTAAATACTACCTCGTCATTTTCCATATGAGTGGATATATATATATATATATTCATGCAAATATGGAAGTATTACGAATGAACTAATACAGTTTTATCATAGGCTACTAAAATTAGGCTATAATGATGCAAAAATCAAATGAAATTGTTAACATGTCTTGCTAACACCGAAATACATTTCTAGAAATGACGACAGTCACTTTGTAGATATTCTGCCAGTTTTAGCAGATCAGTTTTCTTTTAGGTTTACTTATCAATGACTTGGTTTTTCCCGCATATAACCTCTATTAACATTTTCTGATGTCCACATTTGCCTAGTTTTTATAGGGTTTTGGGTTTTAATTTTTATCACCTCTTCTTTTATCAGCACAATATACAACAATATCCTCATCTGAGATTGCAGGAAAATAAGCATAAAAATTCTTTATTTTAATCACCTCCAATCTGTTATCACGGAAACGTAGCTGTGATGTCATAAATCGTGACGTCATATCAGCTATAACATTATAGTCAGAGGGATAGATTCCCTCACTTACCATGTTCTTGCTCTAAACAAGTCAGATACGATGATCTTTCTTTCACCAATATGATATTTATGCACATACCGTATTTTGAGGGTGGCCATATCTCCGAGAAAAATAAAGAAATTCATCCTTTCATACCCAAAAAAGGTGAATATAGGTATTTGAATTCCAAAACAATCAAAAAACAGTTTTCGTAAAATTTGTCACTTACGATGTTTTTGCTCTGACCCAGCGATATTAAAATATACATATTACATACACTATACTAATGTTCAGATGGCATACACTAATACACCCAAACCGCTTTAAATCATTTATTTCAGTGTTTTGAATTGTGACGTCGCCTCTATATGTTTGCGGTACTATACTGTGATGTATCATTTATTTTTAAAAGAAAATACCGTTCAATATAACTAAATCTAGCTGCAGTATAACATTGTGATATATATTCTAAAGAAAATATCGTTCAATATAACTAAATCTAGATGCAATATTGATTTGATGTACGCATACAAACAACCCTCAGGATTCCCTTCTACATATTGTTTAATTCAAGAAAAATATGCAACTATAGATAATCTATAAGTACTATAGAATGATATGCATTTTTTCTAAAAACTGACGTAACAAGAATATACTCCATCTCCTTAAATGTATATAATTTTAGATTTGTTGTTTTTCAAAATTTCTTTGTAATACGAATCGTTTACCTTCATTACGGCTAACTCCTAAGTTAAACAGCTAAGTTAAACAGTAATACAAATTAGATTAGTTAGTTGCATCATTGCAAATTCATTTATAGCGATGGAGCCACGATGGTTCGGTGAGTAGGATGTCCATGGCTGGATCCCGGTGTTGACTGAGAAAATTCCTTGGTTTTTAGCGTGGTTTCCTCTTGTCGGTGGTGCAGGACGTAGTACCGGATTAAGGCTCTTCTGGCTCTAAGGCACATTTTGATAGGTGGCCTGAAAATACAGATATTTTGGGTTCACCGATAAAAGGAAAAAAGTTAAATTTAAGAACAGAAAATTTATTACAAAAAATTATATGGAGTAAATACTAGCCATAAACATGTAGGAAGACAATATATGCCAGTAAAATTAGACGGGTGCCTTTTTCTTAATTTTCTTTCTCGCATCTTTTTACCTACCATTTTGGGTGTTGGTTTTTTTTTTTTAGAGAAAACAAATTTGTCTCTCAATGACAAACCACAACAAAACTTTTGTCGTTTTGAATACGTCGATTTTTTTAAACATGCATTATACAAGAGCTAAATCTGCCTATTGCAGGTCTTTCTTTAGGCCTTAAAAGTTTTCTAAATCATTAATTAGACATTAGTTAACTTATCCAGGCCATAATCAACTCTCGGTGGCATGGGATTTATCCGATATTAAATACATTAGAACAGTTCAGCCATATTTTGATTTAAGCTAAAAATGGAGGAGCGAGACTTAGTTTCGAATAACCAGAGCGATGGTTGAAATTATTGCACACGTTCGCAATAGAGTAATTTAAATGAAATTTTCACATTATTCATGTTACATTATCTATTTTCGAACTATTATAGCAAGAATGGCTAGCTCTTTATCTAAATCTGACATAATGTATCTTTAAATAATGAAAATTCATATAAAAAAAATGAAAAGCAACAACAAATAATTGGCGTACAAATAGCATCTTAAAATTTTTCAGATGAACAAATGTATTTCTTTTTCAAATTCTTTGTTTTATACTTCAACAAACACAAATTTAAAACCTAAACCAAAGATTTGATTTGGACAAGTTTCAAACTTTGTGTTATATAGACTGTTATGATCTTTGAAGAATGACAGATTTCGTTAAAACAATATGGTTGTGTTTAAGCAATACTTGTATTATAATAGATATTCTCTATTATTTTATTTACCTTTATTTACATTACGCTTTGATTTTCATTGGCATCATTTTAGGGACTGTTTGATAAACAAATCAAGATGCAGGTGTCCAAAGTCAGTATTTGTATTAAGCATTATACATTTAATCAAGTTCCATTTATTGACTGGGAAACTGATATTTCTCTGTACGTGTTATTTTCTCATCAGTTGTTTTTGTTGACAAACACTGTATTTGTAAAAACATTGGGGTTTTTTTTTCAAATTACACGCGTTCTACTTTTTACATCCAAGTTAAATAATTACCAGTGAAAAATATTCCACAAAATGTTGTATTATTTTTCCGTCACGTGGTTTGTTAAGAAGATTTTATAAACCACCATGAACGCCAGTAAAAACAAGAATACACAGTTCGTCCTTAAAGTGTCAAAATTAATGTTGTCATTAATGTTTTATTTCCTTGTTCGTCTTAATAAAAAACACATATGTTTTAGATGTAAAACACCAGTCATTCATTCATTCAATTATACTCTTCAAAAAATGTAGGGGATATTCAGAAACAATACAAAACTGCGGAAATGCACTGCTGTTTTATTAGAGGTAACCGGTGTATGTTAATAACAGGCCAATTGCCTACACATGAACATAAACAGTTTATATGGGCGGCTTATCTGACGGCCCCATTTCACACCAATCCTCAGACATTCAGCAATTCGTCGTGGCATGCTCATAATCAACCGTCCAATCACGATTTTGGGGCAATCTGACCCACTCCTCTTGCAGTGCCACAGCCAATTCTTGCAGGGTTGACGTTGACGTCGACGAACACGTCTCCCGATCATGCCCCAGACATGCTCTATAGGGCAAAGGTCGGAACTCATGGCTGGCCAAGACATATGGACAATATGGTGAAGCTGGAGGTATTCATTCACGACACGAGCGCGGTGGGCACGGGCATTGTCATCCTGAAAGACGGAACGTCGACCTGCTCGTTGAGCGAAGGGCAGAACTATGGGTGCACTGATGTGACCCTTCCTTGAACAATATGCAAGTCCGTTCTGCCAGTCATGGTGATTCCTCCCTACACCATAACAGACCCACGTCCGAATCTGTCGTGCTGTCTGACGTTAACGTTAGCATGACGCTCATTTACACGCCACCAAACGCGAGCACGCCTATCGGCTCATCTGAGAACATTACACGCGCCCATCGACGATTACCCCAATTTCTACGCTGCCTACACCATTGACGCCCGTTTGCCATGTGCTGGCGAGTTAATGGAGACACAACACGCGGTCGTCGCGCATGCAAATGAGCTGCATGTCGCCGATTTCTAACCGTTTGGGGTGTAACTCTAATTCCTGTAACTTGGTACAAGTTTACTGAAAGCTGATTGGACGTTTGTCCTCGATTTCGCAGGGCCTGTGTACGAATGTATCGATCTTGGGCTCGTGTAGTTGCTCTAGGACGACCTGAACGAGGTCTATCATCAACATTGTGTGTTTGTTGGTACCGGTTCCAAAGTCTGCTGATCACAGACTGTGACACATTAAACATGTTGGCTACTGCTCGCTGTGTAGAACCCATTTGAAGCATGCTAAAAGCACGTAGAGGTTCGTCATGTTGAAGACGCCCCATTGCAAATTAAACGTAAGACACTAAAGCAAAGATACGCTAAACAGTAAATCTTATGCAAGAACCGATAAGAAAGCAAACATGGATAGGATAAACCAGCACGCGGCAGTTTTCATCAACCCTTCTGGAAGTGTCAAATTTGACCATGATCCCCTCCCACGTGTATGTCGCTATTGCGTGTCGCATGTGCAGCTCGGTGGTTCTGTTGTCAAGTGTCCATAACTATTTATCATATCACAACCTGCATAGGTATTTGCATTTCAATATCTCCTACTTTTTTTGAAGAGTTTGGACTAATATTTAATTTAATGGTGGTTTATTTATTCATTGTGGAGCAGCAGTGGCTCAATAAGTAAGACGTTCCCGTGTAGTCGTTTTGATGTGACGAAAAACCGAGGTCCCATGTTAACATTGACGTGCACGTAAAAGAACCGGACAAAATATTTTCCCCATAGCACACTATAAGCCCAGTCGGAGGAAATGAAATGAAATGAAATGGGGTTTAACGTTCTCCTGTTCTGCTCCCACTGGGCTAATAAAGACGGGCATACGCCATACAGTGTGCTATGAGGGAAATT